CTACCAAAAAACCAAAGAGGCTAACGGACGCTCCGGATCCCAGCCCCACACATCCCGTTTCTACGAGGCACTGCATTCCATCCTGGGAGCGGCCGCCACCACTACCCCACCCCTGACCGTGGACTCCGAGGATGGGATCATGTCCGCGGCCGGTTCCTCGTCGGACATGACAGCGGACGGGGAAGATGAAGAAGGAGATGAGGAGGACGAGGCAGTCGACAGCGCTGGCACCGCTGATTTCCCCGACAGCCAGGAGCTCTTCATCACCCTTACCGAGATCCCGTACCAACCGTCCCCATCCCTTACCCCGGACACAGAATCAGGGGAAGGATCAAGCAGTAAGTGCTGTAAACATGTAAACATTTATTTAAAACAGAACGGTAATATTTATACTATTAACAATGTACATTTATAAAAGTTCTGTAAACTAGTAAAAAAATAATCAGGTACAAAACAGGAATATTTACAAAGGTAACAAATGGGTTTTCATGATTTCTCTGGCTTGGGCTCTTCTCAATTTAGTCCCAAGTGTTTTAAAAAATTTTCACAATGTCCGTTACTCCATGATTCCCAGGCCCAAGACGCTCCACTCCATAGTCCCAGTGCACCTACGCGAAAATCCGGTCAATGTGGCCGGGGATCGACGAGAAATCCTCGTAGGAGAACTCCTCGTAGGTCTCGTGGAGGTAGAGCTCAAGCCTGTTGATCAGGTTCCGGGGTAGGGCGATCTTAGTGGGCCCTCCGTGGTAGCAGACATGCCCCCTCCACGCCACAATCAAGTACTCCGGGATCATGGCCCGACATAGCATGGCGGCATACGGCCCCGGTTTCTGCATGCTTTCCCGCAGCATGCGTTCTCTCTGGGTGTCCGGGATCCTCAGGAGGGTGATGTCGCTCATGACGCCCTGCTTTGAATTAGGGAGGGGAATGTTAGTATTGGGACTGCTTTACAGCCACGCGGTGGAGGGAGAGGGGCAGCATACAGGGATCTTTCCCTGGGACAGCCGCGAGGGGGTGGGACAGGGGCAGAGTTGATGCTGTCCTGATTGCTGGCAGCAGAGACTGGCATTGCTTTCAATGTGAAAGGAGGCCAGTGCTACTGCTGGAGTTTTAAGCAGCCACAAGTCTGCGGCTTACCATTATTGCCCGCTCCAGAAGTTCAGGTCTCCAGCCACAGTTCTCTGAACAGTCCAAGACCTCCGCAAGTCCACAGGCACTGAAGGCGACGGCCGAAAATTCGACCTTGTCCTGAGTGCGCATGTGAGAGGTGCAGTGCATGGTCTTGTTCACAGAGAAAGACTAGGTTCTTTGTATACAATTTCATTTATCTGTCTCAGGAATTCACTCCCTTTTTAAAATTCACACAGACACATCTGCGACTGTCTCCCAACCCAGCCTGTCAGCACACTCCCAGAGGCTAGCGCAGATTAGGCGGAGGAAGAAGAAGACGCGTGAAGACATGTTCTCAGAACTAATGGACTGCTCCCGAGCCCAGGCAGCCCAGCAGACACAGTGGAGGGAGAACTTGTCACAAATGCACCGAGCAGTCATGGAACGGGAGGAGAGGTGGCGTCAGGAGGACCAACAGGCTACTGAAAAGCTGCTTGGACTAATGAGGGAGCAAACGGACACGCTCCGGCGCCTTGTGGATGTTCTGCAAGACCGGAGGCAGGAGGACAGAGCCCCGCTGCAGTCTATCTGTAACCGCCCTCACCCGCCACCAAGTCCCACACCACCCTCACCCAAACTCCAAAGAAGGAGGGGCGGCAAGGGCCGTTAAAACTTTCAGTCAACCCCTGCAGACTGCTCTAGCACTAGAAGGCTGACATTCCCCAAAATTTCATAAGTCCTTTCCCACCCACCTCACAGAAGCCCCCGTCCAAGTTTCACACCCCACGTTTCATGTCTGGTTCGCAATAAAATGTTTGTTTCTCTCCATTACTGTTTCAGTCAGGTTCTTTTGAGGGAGAGTCTGTCTGGAGGGGGGCAAGGGGCTTGGTAATTGGGCAGGACAGTGACCTTTAGCAGGGTACAGAGGCGGTGTCAGGTCCAGCATCAGGACACATACACAGTGCAGTCACTGGTTACCCTGGTCAGTCTGGGAGGTGTTTTTCATGTTCTCCATTGAAATAACCAGTCCACCAGTGCGGAGCCTGTCATTCCGGGAGTTTAGAAGCATCATTTGCATCAGAACACTGAACCCGCCCCCCGCCACAGTCTGCGTCCCCGGTTTAAAATATTCCCGCGAAAACAGCAATACAGACAACGCTGTTCATTAACAAAATCGAAATGATTTTATTTTTTGGGAAGGGGAAGGGGGTGAAGGGGGTATGTAACTGGAGAGGATAGTCAAAATGAACTGGGTAAAGAAACGGGGGCAGGTTCAGCTTTTCTGTCCACAAACTGAAAAGTCACTGGTTGCCCTGCTCACTCAGGAACCTAGCTTTCAAAGCCTCCCGGATGCACAGGGCGTCCCGCTGGGATCTTCTAATGGCCCGGCTGTCTGGCTGGACATAATCAGCAGCCAGGCTATTTGCCTCTAGCTCCCACCCCGCCATAAAGGTCTCCCCCTTGCTCTCACATAGATTGTGGAGCACACAGCAAGCTGCAATAACGATGGGGATATTGGTTTCACTGAGATCACAGCGAGTGAGTAAGCTTCTCCATCTCCCTTTGAGACGGCCAAAAGCACACTCCACCACCATTCTGCACTTGCTGAGACGGTAGTTGAACAGTTCTTTTTCTGTGTCCAGGGCGCCAGTATAGGGCTTCATGAGCCAGGGCATTAGCGGGTAGGCTGGGTCCCCGAGGATGACTGTAGGCATCTCCACATCCCCAAGAGTTATTTTGTGGTCTGGGAAGTAAATACCTTCCTGCAGCCGTCTAAACAGACCAGAGTTCCTGAACACACGAGCGTCATGAACCTTGCCCGGCCATCCGACGTAGATGTTTGTAAACCGTCCCCGATGGTCCACCAGTGCTTGCAGCACCATTGAAAAGTAGCCCTTTCTATTGATGTACTGGCTGGCCTGGTGGTCCGGTCCCAGGATAGGGATGTGAGTCCCATCGATAGCCCCTCCGCAGTTTGGAAATCCCATCGCGGCAAAGCCATCTATGATGACCTGCGCGTTTCCCAGGGTCACTACCTTTGGGAGCAGTACCTTCACGATTGCCTTGGCTACTTGCATGACAACAACCCCCACGGTAGATTTGCCCACACCAAAGTGGTTCGCGACTGACCGGTAGCTGTCCGGCGTTGCAAGCTTCCAGAGGGCTATGGCCACTCGCTTCTGGACAGTGAGGGCTGCTCGCATGCGGGTGTCCTTGCGCTTCAGGGCAGGGGACAGCAACTCACAAAGTTCGAGGAAAGTCCCCTTCCGCATGCGAAAGTTTCGCAGCCACTGGGATTCATCCCAGACCTGAAGCACTATGCGGTCCCACCAGTCCGTGCTTGTTTCCCGGGCCCAGAATCGCCGTTCAACAAAATCCACATGCCCCATTGCCACCGTGATGTCCTGGGCGCTGGGGCTCGTGGTTTCTGACAGCTCTGTGCCACTCTCCGACTTCAGGCTCTCACGGCGGTGCCGTAGCCTCCTCGCCCGATTTCTCTGCATCTGCCTCAGGGAAAGGTGTATGATAAGCTGCGAGGTGTTGAGAACGGCCACAAGTGCAGCGATGGTCGCAGCGTGATCCATGATCGCAGTGCTGTGGCGTCCGCGCTGTCACTGACCAGAAAAGTGCGCGAACTGATTTCCCGCCGGCGCTTTCATGGAGGGAGGGAGGGCGTTAGTGACGGACGGATGACGACAAATTTTTTTTACCCAGAAGGCATTGGCGGCTCGACCCAGAATTCCGATGGGCAGCGGGGACTGCGGGAACTGTGGGATAGCTGCCCACAGTGCACCGCTTCCAATATCGACGCTCGCCCCCTTAGTGTGGACTCACAAAGTCGAATTGCTGTCCTTAGTGTGTCCTTAGTGTGGACACACACGTTCGACTTTGCAATATCGATTCCACATATTCGATTTAAGTAAAATCGAATTACCCTCGTAGTGTAGACATACCCTAAGAGACATAATAAAAAAGACTTTAAGCTACTGTTGCTGGTGGGTGGGAGGAATGTCCCAGCAGCCAAGCACCCCAGAGGGCCAAGGAGAAGATCTCTGGGAGTGAAACAGTTCCAACTTTGTGTGTGGGCTTATCGTCTGCCTGGCATGCCAGCAGCTCCCTTCTGCCCTTTTCGTGCATCTCCCCTAGGGTGATGACCAGATGACAGGAAGAAAATATCGGGACACAAGGGGGGGGGGGGGTCACTGGCGGAGCAAAAAACCGAGTGCTGCCGGTGTAAGGACACAAATAGCTCCCTCTCCCAATTCCTTACTGTGGCCCAGTGCTGCCGGCAGTCGGGGGCGGGAGCTGAGAACAGCCCAGTGCTGCGGGCAGTCAGAGGAGATTAAAAAAAAAAGCGGAGTGCAGCGTCCCGACCGAAGATCAATCCGGACGCGGGACAAATACCTAAATATCGGGACGGTCCGATTTTATCGGGACGTCTGGTCACCCTAATTCTCCCCCCACCCCTTTTCCTGGCTCCCCTCCTGCACAGGGAAGGGAGCTGGCGTGGTTGCTTTCCCCTCATTCTGCAGGCGTGAGTCTGAGGCTGGCAGATCTCAGCTTCTTCCCTCCTCGTCCTGCTGCATTTCCCTTCTAGGAGGGATGCAACGAAAGGGCGGCGGTGGTGGGCGGTATTGGGCCGTAGCTCCTATTAGAGTTAATACGGGAGGGTCAGGGGACATGGTGAGCAGCTGAAAACTTCAAACCAAACCAACTCTGCGCTGCGCTGCCCCGCCCCGCCCCCACCCCCTTCCTTGGAAGTTCGAGCTGCGCTGCCTGCATCAGCAGCCGGGCTGGCAGGAGAAGCAGCAGCAGCCGCCGCCGCCGCCCCTGGAAAGTTGCTCCCCCCGCTGTGCTCCCAGCCCGCTCTGCCCCCCCCCGCCCCAGCCATGGGCTTTGACCTGGATCGCTTTGCCGAGCCCGTGGACCCGGATCTCAAGTGCAAACTGTGCAGCAAGGTGCTGGAGGAGCCGCTGTCCACGCCGTGCGGGCACGTCTTCTGCGCCGGCTGCCTGCTGCCCTGGGCGGTGCAGCGGCGCCTGTGCCCCCTGCAGTGCCAGCCCATCTCGGCCAAGGAGCTGCACCAGGTGCTGCCGCTCAGGAGCCTCATCCAGAAGCTGGAGATCAAGTGCGACTACAGCCCGCGGGGCTGCGGCCGGACCGTGCGGCTCCACCAGCTGGCCGCCCACGTCGAGATGTGCGACTACAGCCCGGCCCGGTGCCGCCACAAGGGCTGCCCGGAGGTGCTCAGCCTGAAGGACGTGGACGCGCACATGCGGGAGAGCTGCGAGCACCGCCCGGCCGGCATCTGCCAGCAGGGCTGCGGCTTGGTGCTCCTGCAGCGGGACCTGGCGGGGGGCGCGCAGCCGGGCGGGGGGCACTGCTGCCTGCGGGCGCTGCGCAGCCAGAACAGCAGCCTGCAAGGCCAGAGGGCCAGCCTGGAGCAGGAGCTGAAGCGACAGGCCCTGAAGTGGAGCAAGAGGGAGAAGTCGCTGCTGGCTCAGCTCGCGGCGCTGCAGAGCGAGGTGCAGCTCACGGCGCTTAGGTACCAGGTGAAGTTCAACCAGTACATGAGCCACATCAGCAGCATCACCAGGAACCTGGCCGGCAGCCACCCCTGCAAGGTGAGTGAAGGAGTGAGCGGG